AAAAAAAAAAAATCAATAGACCTTTATTTTTATTTATTTATTTACTTTTCTTATACCCCATCAGCAGGGAATTATTTTTTTAGACTAGTGTCAGGCTTCCAGAAAAACCGATTGGAAAGTACGGAGAGTGCCCGTGTCCTGCCTCTCTCCCTGCAGTTTCCACTACTGATACATCTTGTATTAATTAGTGCGGTACATTTGTTATAACTGATCAACCCATATGGATACATTATTATTAACTAAAGTCTGTATTCTATATTAGGATGCATTCTTTTTTTTTTTTTTCTTTTTAAGAGACAGAGTCTTACTCTGTCACCCAGGCTGGAGTGCAGTGGCATGATCATAGCTTGTTGCAGCCTCTAACTCCCGAGCTCAAGCGATCCTCCTGCCTCAGCCTCCCAAGTAGCTGGGACTACAGGCATGTGGCACCACACCCAGCTAATTTTTCTTAGTTTTTGTAGAGACAGGGTCTCAATCTATTGCCCAGGCTGGTCTCGAACTCCTGGGCTGAAGTGATCCTCCTGCCTAGGCCTCCCAAGGTGCTAGGACCACAGGTGTGAGCCACCATGCCCGCCTGTGTTCACTGTTTGTGTTGTACATTTTGTGGGATTTGACAAAGGTATAATGACACGTATCCATCGTTACTGCATCAGACAGAACAAGTTCACTGCCCTAAAAATCCCTGTGCTCCACCCGTTCATCCCTCCCTGCCTCCCACCAAACCCCTGGCAACCCCTGATCTTTCTACTGTCACCGTAGTCCGCCTTTTCCAGAACGTCACATGGTTGGGATGATACAGTCCGCAGCCGTTTCAGAGTGGCTTCTTTCACTTAGCTATGTGCACGTGAGCCTCCTCCGTGCCTCTTCATAGCTCAGCTCATTTCTTTTACTGCTGAATACTATTTCATTGTCCGGATGCACGTTCCTTCGTACAGGTGTGTAGTATTCTGTCATGCAGGTGGAACCGGTCAGAGCCCCCTGTTGGTGGACACTTGGGTAGTTTCATCTTTTGCTACCAGCCACACTTCCACTTCTGCCCCGGTGTATCCGCAGGACAGAACCCCAGGAGTGGGTGTTTAGACCAAAGGGTAAATGTATTTGTATTAATAATATTGTGCCCTCTCTGTAATTCTATATAGTTTGACTATTTGGAAAATATGTACTTATGGATTAGTTTTACATTTTGAAAAAAGCAAACATAAATTACGGGCATTAACACAACATCATGTTCAAAGCCTAGGGTGTGTCACAGACCTGCTGCGGGTACTCTCCCTCCTCCTGGACGGCTGTATGATCTTGGGCAAGTGACTCCACCCTTCTGGTCTCAGTTTTCCCCTCCACATGTTGGTTTCAAAAGAATAACTGCCTAACAGGATCTCTCAGGGAGTCTGGAAGCTTCTGAACATACAGGGTTTAGCACAGTGCCTGGCGCAGTCAGGCTCCACATGGGGAAGGGACAGTCCCCATGTCTTTACATCCAAACTGGAATTTTCTGTAGCTATTAAATAAAGATCAAGCTCTGTCTGCTGACATAGAAAGGTGTGTTGATTATATTGTAGAGAGGAAAAAAGCAAATTGTAGAACCAGATAATACAGTGTGCTACCTTGTGTGTGCCAAATTATTAATAGCAGTAACAATAACACTCTGCAGTGAGAGAAAAGCTACAAAGTCTATCACAAGGAAAAAAACAGTTGGGAAGATGAATGTTGCTTTCAAGAATATAAATCAATGTTTAATCAACAAATACTGATCACTAGCTATATTTTGAAGGCTAAGAAAATGCCTCAAGACAAACACTTTTACTCAA